AATCAAACTGAAGTTTTGATATATTTACGGTAGGAAATGTACTAAATATCTTCATGGAACATAATCTTTACTTAATATCCTAATGATTTTTGGCATAAAAGAAAAATCTATAATTGTGACCCATACAATGTATTGTTGGCTATTGCTACAAATATCCCCCAGCGACTTAACACTGCTTTTGTGCTCCAGGGTCTCATACTTTAAACTGTGATTAAAGCTGAATTTTCAGCATCATTCCTGCAGTCTTCAGTGTCACGTGATCCTTCAGAACCATGATACTTTTTCAGGATTCTTTGATGAATAGAAAGTTCAAAAGATCAGCATTTATTTACAATAGAAACCTTTTGTAACATTATAAATATATTTACTGTCACTTTTGATCAATTAAATGCATCCTTGCTGAATGAAAGTATTAAATTAAAAAAAAAAAATTATTTAATTGAGCCCAAACTTTTGACCTGTAGTGTAGGCTATACATTTTCTTCATGAAACAGTAATAACAATATTCCACTTTCAAAAGGATTTATTTTCATTTTGACACCGATGTTTGACAGTGGTCTAAGGTAAGACACCGTTATACAACAACAACGATTCACAAGCCTACCAAATCAGTACATTCTTCTCAATACAAGTCCAAAAAAGATTATAATCAAGGTGAATATAAAGCAAACGGCGAGTGACATTTGCTTTAATGAACAATAAAGATGCAGAACTGAAAAATCTTACAGGAAAATAAAATGATAAATTCATGTTCTCAATATAATCATAAATCACCATCTTTATAATGATTTCTAAACACGCTGACCAGCAGAATCTGACATGCACATAATATCATGAATAAGAAAATAAATATAATCTTAAATAAAGTCTCTTTTCTGTTTTGGCACTGATTGTCATCTGTTCTACATACTGGATCTATATACCCACATTTCATTAAATAATAATCTTTTCATCCAATAACATTCCCTTTGCATGCTTATATATTAATTTTTTCAGAATAAAATAATTTTTTTTTTTTTTAAATGCGCGACAACCAAAATTATTCAAAGTGTCAAACACTCACACTTGCAAAACATTTATTTGGCTTTGAAAGGAAAATTAATTTTCCAATACTGCATCTTATTCATATTAGCTTTCAAATTTTGTATGGCTAATGGAGTATAAAAATATAATGAGTATTAACAGGCCTGATCCTGGTTTTGGTTTCTTTTTGGCAACTTGTAGTGTTGCTAATGAAACTAGATTTGAAGTACCTGCCTGTGCAAAACTCACGGTGTTGTGGACGCTTGGCCTTTGCTATGATGCTCTATTACCATTGATAATAGAGTCTGATCATTAAAAAAAGTAATAGCACATATCTTCTCAATAATAATTGGAGGTACCATTCGTTTTCAAAGAGTGTGAAATTAGTTCTGTACCATAGTCTAACAATTACGTCCAAGGGTTTGTTCAAAATCCTAACCTTAAATACGAGCAGTTAATAATAGTGAGCATTGCATTAGCAAGCACCACTAATAAACATGACACGAGACACACTCTCTGTGCTTTACATGAACCATGTTAAAACATACACAGGATCAGACATAAGAAGCGTGCCGTGTGGGTCCTACAGAAAATAGAGATTACCTACCTAAAACACGTTACAAATATCAAGAATGAAGTTGCTTCCAGTTTTGTCAAAATGCCATTTTCTCTTATTGTGTTTCTGATAAAAAAAAGTATCTTGTTCCAGAATGCCTGATTGTGATTTCCAAAGATATTCCAACAGCAAACTACAAAGATGTGTTGAATGTAAAAGAACATCTATTTTTAATGTCTTCCATCGCCCATATTTTCTCTAGAAGTGACACTTCTCGACACCTCTATAATATTGAAAGGTGTCAGGCCGCACGATACTGTGAATATCCATGACACTTTCATGCAAAAAACATATACACTGACACGCTTATACTCTCACTCAGCTAACCATGTAAACAGTGAGACGGCACGCCACGTGTCCTAAGGCTAAGTAGTCATGGTACAAAATCTTCTATGGGTTACGAACTACTAATCCAATAGACTACGATATCGGAGCACTTAGTAGAGCCCTGTAGACGACGTCAAAACAGATACTGTGACCCTGGAGGGGTCGAATTGGAGACAAAAGACAAGATGAGGAATGAGAGAGGAGAGGAAATACAGAGAAAGGGGAAGAGATGTAGAGGAGACGAGAGATCTTACCATGTAGGATCAATCCTAGAAAGCCCTAGACAACACATACACTAGGATCCCTACCCAAGTACAGTCATGATACAATACTTGACACAAATCAGACTAAAGATCAGATAGAAACCATGCAATCATCGTTTAAAGTCAACATGAAATCAAAGCTGATGCTGTTTGCTTTCTTAAAGCACATTTCTGGCTTATAGAGGTGTTGACAGTGTTTTGCACCGACAAAACATTTTAAAGTCTTGGTGAAAACGCTGTCTATGCAACAAAGTTGAGCACAGTTTAACTTCATGCAAATATGCAGCAACGTTACATTGCAATGTCTGTTACAGTTGGATAATACAGGAATGCCTAGCATCTAACAGCACAGCAATTTGGCAGCTCCAGCGATTTAAGCATGAACGCACCTTAAGGGGCCTTTCACACAGAATGCGTTTTGCATTCCACTGCACTTCTTTTCCAATGTTTTTTCTACATAAACTTGCACTAAACTGACATTTCTGACCAATGCATTTGCATCTTGCATCTCACATCTTTTTTTAGCATTCTAAACCCATAGCACTGAAGTTAGAAGTTATTCATGTCTCCAGACCTTGCGTTTTTATTTTTCATTCCAAAGAACCATGTTCTGTGAACCAGCCCTTATAGTGCAAAAGTCACTGGTGAATGCAACATAAAAAAAAGAAAAGATTTTTGTCTTTGTATTCTTCCATCAAATTGTATTAAAAAGTTTGTAGAAAGTTCCAAACGAGGGCTGTTCACACAGAATGCGTTTTAGCATCCCACTGCGTTTCTTTTCCATTATTTTTGTATGTAAACATGCACGGATGTTTTTGACCATTGTGCTCGCATCTTTTGCAGCATCTCCCGCACGACACAGCATTCTAAAAACACAGCACTCAAATTAAAAGCTGTTGAACTTTAAAAAAATGTGTGGCTCTAGACTTTGTTTTTTTAAATGCAAAAATACGTTCTGTGTGAACTGACCCTTATAGTGCAGGAGTCACTGGTGAACTTTACATTAAATAAATGTGTGTCTTTGTGTTCTTGCAAGTGTAATAAAAAGCTCATTTGAACAGACCTTAAAGGATCATTCACAAAGAACATGTTTTTGCATTCTACTGCACTTCTTTTCCATTGTTTTTCTATGTAAAGATGCACCAAATGGATGTTTTTGACCATTGCGCTCACATCTTTTGCAGTGTCTCACATATGACACAGCATTCTAAAAACATGGCACCAAAGTTGTTCAGCTATTAAAAATGCTTCTGTACACCATTTTCTTTCATTCCACTGTCTTGCATCTTGATGTTTTTTAACACAAAAACGTATTTTGTGTGAAGCGCCCCAGGAGTCATGAACGTTACATTAAAATAAAAATGTAATTACGTGCTCCACGTCTGATATACATTTCTTTTTCGGTTGATGTCACAAAGCACCAGTCGATAACGCCCTGCATTTCTTTCCTTGACTTTCCTGTTTCATTCTGAAATACATGATGCAAATTTGGTTTGGGAACTGCATTTCATGTTGACTTTAAACTAGCAGGTCAAGGAGCTGGACATTACTTTGCAATTATTTTCGAGAACATTTACCACAGGAACATGACGGCACAGCAGTCACTACTTTGAGAGCAATAGATTAAATCATTGTCCTATAATATCGTAAAACGCTAACAGTTGGTTAAGACGGTAATCAACATGAATAATATACAAACTGTACTTCACCGAGAGCTGCGTTAGCTAAGAGTCATCCCTTTATGTGTGTCTGCCTTTCAAGAACCTGAGGAGAGTACATATTTGCATTTTCAGAGCAAGTGAATAACCCCTTTCACTGTGCTGACAACAGCATGTCACCTTTAGCAGGGTATTCTCGACGTCACTTTAAAGTCGTGAGCTCTGCTCCAAATCCTGCCTCGCTCTCTACTTTCTACCTAACAAGGCAGCATCCTAAGTGAAATGGAAGTCTGTTAATGCACCACTTCCCATGGGCAACCTGACTAATGCTTGCAGCTGATTCCCTCAGTTAGAGTCAGGTTACTCTGATGTAGCAATTGTATGCAGCACACATAATTATTGCCTGAAATAGTCAATGAGACGGAGCTATTTTTCAGATTTTTACAAATGTTTCTCAGTATTTCTCAGTGCATTCTGGGATTGCTCGTTTCTTTGAGGGGTGCAATGCTTTGCCAAAGCGAGATATCGTTCCAGACAGCATCAAATGTAGGAGTCTGGAGTGTATCTATAGCTATGTTTCTATCCACCTATTTTTATGTGCATTTTTTGGGATATCGCATTAAAAACACAGACTGGAAATGCCAAGATGCGCATCAATTCCAAAAATGTGCATAAAAACGTACGCGCTGAATTGAAGCAGGTACATTTTTATACACATAAGCTACGATTGAGACACATTTACAAAATAAATTAATTGATGCGCATCAAAATTGCACAGCATCTGAAATGTTGTTTTAGTCATTCTGAAATGCCTGAACCAAAGTTTGTCGTCAAAGTGGTTCGGTATAATAACCTATATATTATAATAATCAGAACTGTCTTTCACAATTGCATTGCCTTCAAATGCAATATAACATGACTGCGTTCATTGCATTTTGTCTGCATGCTCTGAGGCACAAGTAATTTATCATATACAAAAAAGACTTCTCCCACTGCAGAAAATCACATTTTTCTTAGTGATATTTGGTGCCAGTTTATCAGGAAGTGACGATTTTGTTCTCTTTGTCTCGCTGGATGGAAACAGTGCTTCATTCGTGAATGTTTTATGTAATATTTCAAGTTAAATTTGCAACTTTGGATAGAAACATAGCTTACGATGCCCAGATAGACAGCTCAACTAGAGTTCAGAACAGAGCACTAGAAAACTTAAAGAGGATCTGCTCCAAAAAAATCCAGTAAGAACCAGAATTGTTGTTCTATTGTGCTCCAAACCCTGGTTAATTCTGAAAAAAATTAATATCGTGCATGTATATCTAAGATTATTTCTTAGTGTTTCAGGTTTAGAAGAAGAAGAATATGAATAGAATGACTACACAGAACAGGCACAATCAATTTAGTCTGCCCTCTTGTGTTTGCTGGAGGGAACGCTGATTTCTGCCCTGCAACATATAAGACAACATCTCCAAACAACATCACAGGACAGTAAATGTACAACGACATCACAGACCCAGCAGAAACCGGCGACCCTGGCCTCGAGCTGATATCTTCCTCCAGAGAAGGTGCTGTGCTTAGCTAAGGTTCCTCTGGCTTGGTTGCATCTTTTCCTGAGTTAGAGCTGTCATCCGCAGCGGCGGCGGGGGCATCTGAGGACCTGCTGGAGCTGGAAGGTGCAGAGGTGTCTTTGGAGTACGGTTCGTCGGGGTTTGCCGTCGGCCCTTCGGCTCGTCTGGAGCGCCAGCTGCTGCTCTGCTGCTCTTCAGTCTCAGGGCTGGAGTCACAGGAGTCGCTCTTCTTCAGCTCATCATCAGATGTGAAGTCGGAGCTGTCAGACGGACTCAGACCAGCTGCGGTGGATGCTGGCAGTTGAATCTTAGGTGATAATAAAGGACGAGAAACATATTGCATGAATTAGCATTTATTTTAATATTTTCAGTTTTCATTTGAACTCTTTCCCCTGCCACTGACAGAATATCCCGGCTTTCCATGTTTTCACTAGGATCTTTGGAAAGAGTAATGAATCTTCGGATTGAAACACAGGTGAATAAGAAACAAGCGATCAAGTATGTAAGCAGAGTCATATGTAAAATAACGTGATCATCAAACATTAGACAGCATATAAATCAAAACTGCCTAACGTTACAGAATGAAATGTCGATCCAGGAAGTGGTTTAGGACTGACTTTTGCTGATGGACTCAACCTCCTCCATGTTTTGATCAGTGTTCTTAATCTGATCTGGATGTAGTCTTTGACAAAAATGCGATTTTCTCAACTTTTTGTTCAAAACGTTGTTGTTTTTTCATGAAACTTACCCACATTCAAGTGTTGATAAAAAAAATAATGCATGAAGCTAGAATAAAACTTTTTTTTTTAAGCAGAGGCTCTGTTCTTTCTTTTGACATGTTCAGAAATTCATACAACAATATATATTTATATTCCGGGGGCCATGAAAGTTTTGTGAAAATTATCAAAAATGCTGGCGGTGGCTTGAAACTTTAAAAAAAAAAAATGCTGGCAAGGAAAGTGTTAATTTTAGTTTCTTTTTTGTGCACTTTTATCATTTTTTTTATAATTCTATTTAGCTTTTATTTCAGTTTTAACAATTTTAGTACTTACTTAACCCTGTAAAGCATGACATATGAAATAATAGTCAGAAAAATCAACTTTTTTGAAATGGAACATTTTATTAAAGATGAATTTTAGAAAAAGAAAAATCTCAAAAATCTCATATCAGGCTTTTATGGCTCATATAGTATGATATAGTGAGAATCAGGAGCTCAGACTTGAGGAGGAAAAAACACCTCAATTTTATTCAGAGGTCCAAACTGAGCATGAATATGTAATTCGGTGCTGATGCTGATTTGTCACTCTATATCTCCCGATAACATGTCTTGCCTATATTTTTATATGCAATGCAATGCAATACAATGATGATTGAAATATGACCAAATACACTTTCCTCAAAAGCCTGATAATTGATACTCAAATTTGAACATCATTTCTAAAAATGATGTATGGATAATCAAGTAAACCTAAGTTGCTTAAAGGGATAGTTCACCCAAAAATGAAAATTTGATGTTTATCTTCTTACCCCCAGGGCATCTAAGATATAGGTGACTTTGTTTCTTCAGTAGAACACAAATTATGATTTGTATCTTTAACCGTTGCAGTCTGTCAGTCGTATAATGCACGGCAATTGTAACAAAATCTATGAGAGTAAAAAAAACATGCGCAGACAAATCCAAATTAAACCCTGCGGCTCGTGACGACACACTGATGTCCTAAGACACGAAACGATCGGTTTGAGCCACACATTGCACAAACCCACCATTAAAGTTGCTCTCAATAAGTATCAACAACAACTAATTGAGGCAAAAGTCAAAGACATTCATGACAGGTGAAACAGCAACCTAGTACATTTATAACACTATCCTAGAGTATGTGTAACTTGGCGTTAAAGAAATAGTTCACCTAAAAATGAAAATTAGCTGAAAATGTACTCACCCTCAGGCCATCCAAGATGTAGATGAGCTTGTTTCTTCATCAGATTTGGAGAAATTGCTCAGCAATGGATGCTCTGCAGTGAATGGGTGCCGTCAGAATGAGAGATGTCTGTTTTACAGCATCCAAATTGCCTGTAAGAGATCTTAATAAAGCTTGACTTGACTAATATAACGCTTCCTCCAGTGAAAAAGTCCATCTCCTGTTGTCTCTCACATCAAAATCCACCCACATATTTGTTTAGCTCTGATTTGGACTGATTTGGCTTGTAAACGGTGTGTGCAGATTTCTCTCCTGATTCAGACGAAAGCACTGATTACTGTAGAAAGCAATACTATGGATAGAGAACTAGTATTTTAGCTGGAAGCATACACTCTAAAAAATGCTGGGTTAAATATAACCCATCGCTGGGTTTAAAGCCTTTTAACCTAATTTTAAATCTAATATTTAGATTTTATTTTAGCTTTATTTCAGTTTAAGGAAATACATTTAATAGTTTCAATGAGAAGCGTTTAATGGTGCATAGCTAGTAAATGCTGGAGTAAAAAGCTAAAGAGATTGTGTACCTGGAATGGCTCGGTGACACCCACAATGGAGCTCATATTGTTGCTATAATAACCCAGTATGAAGTCCCCTGAATCCTTTGGCAATTCTTCCTCGGTAAAAATCACCTGGAGAGTCCAAATCAAAAACTCCTCAGTAAAATTCACAAGCTTCAATATGTGACTTACTTACACAAGTGAATGTCTTTTTTGTGCAACTAAATGTATGATTTGCCCTTACTTGGTGCTCCTGTCTCAGGAAATCAGACTCTTCCTGCTTGGCCCAAACGTAACTCACATAGTCTTTATGATGTTTAAACCCAACCTGTGAATATACATTTTTGTACATATAAACACAACTCGAGTGACAAAAATTATATCTGTAGCTCTACATTTACCATCTTACTCCGACATGTAGATGCTCAGAACTGATGAAATGATTGAAATAACCTTGTAAAGTCCAATCCAGTCCCAAGAGCTTCGAGGAAAGTTGGGTGCCGCCTTGAATTTGGCCACTGCATCTGATATCTCTCTCCATTCATCCTCTACAAAGAGTGTTACCAAAGGCATGTCCACCTTATATGGGAACTGCAAGGAACATCACGTTAAACACATTGCACAAACCCACCATTAAAGTTGCTCTCAATAAGTATCAACAACAACTAATTGAGGCAAAAGTCAAAGACATTCATGACAGGTGAAACAGCAACCTAGTACATTTATAACACTATCCTAGAGTATGTGTAACTTGGCGTTAAAGAAATAGTTCACCTAAAAATGAAAATTAGCTGAAAATGTACTCACCCTCAGGCCATCCAAGATGTAGATGAGCTTGTTTCTTCATCAGATTTGGAGAAATTGCTCAGCAATGGATGCTCTGCAGTGAATGGGTGCCGTCAGAATGAGAGATGTCTGTTTTACAGCATCCAAATTGCCTGTAAGAGATCTTAATAAAGCTTGACTTGACTAATATAACGCTTCCTCCAGTGAAAAAGTCCATCTCCTGTTGTCTCTCACATCAAAATCCACCCACATATTTGTTTAGCTCTGTTTTGGACTGATTTGGCTTGTAAACGGTGTGTGCAGATTTCTCTCCTGATTCAGACGAAAGCACTGATTACTGTAGAAAGCAATATTATGGATAGAGAACTAGTATTTTAGCTGGAAGCATACACTCTAATAACTGCTGGGTCAAAAAAAATCAATAGCTGGGTTTGTCCCTTTTTAACCCAGCATTTTTTAGAGTGTAGGTTTGACGTTTAAACGTCTTAATGATGGTTTTGTTTGTTACAAACACGCAGCTTTTCACTTCACATGGCATTAACTCATGGACTGGAGTGGTGTGGATTACTTGTGGATTATTGTGATGTTTTTATCAGCTGTTTGGACTCTCATTCTGACGGCACCCATTCACTACAGAGCATCCATTGCTGAGTAAGTCAAGCAAATCTGATGAAGAAACAAAACTCATCTACATCATTGATGGCCTGAGGGAACTAGTCATTACAATCAGAACCATGTTAGTGTGCTGACCTGCAGAGTGAAAATAGAGGAGACGGGCTTGTGGTCACTGACGGTGTACTCCATGTGACTGCGGTAAAAATGCTGCGACACACAGGTACCGCTGGTTAGACATGACAACGAGCTGCGCCTCGACATGCTGTTGCTGACCTGAGCCATCGGCCTCAACCGCCAAAGTATGCGATCAGTCCATGCTGGCTTACGCTTCTTACCACTAAGAAAGAAAAAAGATTCACTTAAGTAACAATGCAACAATGGTAACACTTAAGGACCAATTCTCACTATTAACTAGTTGCTTATAAGCATGCATATTACTATCATATTGGGTGTTTATTAGCACTTATAAAGCACATATTAATGCCTTATTCTGCATGACCGTATTCTAGATCCCTTAATTCACCCCATACCTAAACTTAACAACTACCTTAACTATTAATAAGCAGCAAATTAGGAGTTTACTGAGGCAAAAGTCATAGTTAATAGACTTGGACCGGAAAATAAAGTGCAACCGCAATAATAATAGTAGCATTGTAGGAACTGAATACTATAAATGTGCAGGAGTAGCAGCATATATTCTCTTAGGGCACATATAATGCAGTTTTAGAGCTCATAACTCCCTCCCCACTTGAAAAATTTGAAATTTTAAAATTACATAAGGTTGTTGTGGTGGAAGAAAATATACCAAAAATATGTGAAAAATATTATATAATATAAAAAATATACAAAAAAATATGAGTCCAGTTTATGTATGCAGTGTTTTTCACAATACACACTGTTTCATTGTTATGTTAATGTTAATAATATCTTCATGCCTTATAGCCGCATTTAGCAGATGGATGATAATATAGCTGCATTTTGTGACAATAAAAGTAATCAAGCAGTTGAAATTTGATATACAGTATATATATATATATATATACTGTATATATATATGACCCTACATGAGTGTACTATGTGCGGAAGTTGGACACTTATATATCCAATTTTATATAAAGAACTCTCTGATATAATAGTTACTTTTTGTGATTAAATCAAAAATAACACTGGAATCTGCTATATAGTATACAGTATATTGCTTGACGTGAGTGTACTGTATGTATGCAAAAAAAGTAACCCTTTACAAGTCCTTAACTATTTTTAGTCCATCTGAATCTGTTTAGAAGCATGATCTGATTCAAATGAAAAAAGTATGAAATGTCCTTTACCTGGTATCATACGTGTCTGTACCCACATCAAACTTATACGTAGGAGGGAATTTAATCGGGCCCTCGTGAAAGCCTTCGAGCACAGTCTCACTGTCTTTAGCCATATTCAGCTGCAGGACAAAGAGGACAACTCTACATTTAGTGTCACTATACTAGCACAGGGAAATATATAGATTAAACAAACATATTTATAATGCATTGTGTTTTGTCAATGTCTCGAGCTAAACTAAAAGGTATCTAAACGCCTTGTACAAAACAGTCACTCCTTCTTCAAAAGCATTTCATATTTTCATAATATTGACATAATGTTATTATCTGTAAAAACATGATCTTTGACAGTTAGAGGGACTCACCTGGTCTTTTTCCCATAATGTGGACAGTTTGTTACTGTCAATGGCTGCTTTCACAACTTGCATATCCAGGTCGTCGATTCGGAAGTTCAGGTCTCCAAACCAGAAAACCACACTGCAAACATTTATCCACGAGTCACATCACACAGATTTCAATATTAGTTTCAAGATCATATGGCCAATATATTTCATGGATTGGTCATATAATCATAGCAAACTCTACTAACATAATCTCATGAGAAAACACAACAGATCTTACAAATTGTCCATTTAAAATGCATTTATACAATTTGGTTCATGTAAAAATATAAATAGATCTAACCATCAGTAGAGCATGAGCACATGGTACAATAACATACGAATGAGATGCAAATTCGCCAGAAAGTAACATTTCCAACCACAGTGTTTTGTAGTAAATTAATTTAATGACAAGAAAAGCATGAGCAGAATTAGACATGGTTAGCTTTGTCTAAATAAATAAATGTTTTATTGTAGGGACATGTTCTTTTATTTTAATTTTGCAAAAAAAAATCTAACTGTAGACATACAGAAAACTGTATGTCTAATATAAAATCTGGGACCAGAAGCAAAAGCAGCTGAGAAGCAAGTCGTCCCTGAGGGAAACTGATACAACTGCACCATCTGTTGGTGAGATAAATAATTATGAATTATAATAAATGTGCAAAGAATTGTGGCTCACTTAGTTACACTTTCTTTGTAAGGCCCTGATGGGAATTAAATATGGGTGCAGTAATAACAATAGTGTGTTTATACTTTGTAAATCGTATAGTGTGTGTGTGTGTGTGTGTGTGTGTGTCTGTGAGAGTGAGTGAGTGTGTGAGAGAGAGAGAGAGAGAGAGTGTGTGTGTGTGTGTGTGTGTGTGTGTGTGTGTGTGTGTGTGTGTGTGTGTGTGAGAGTGAGTGAGTGTGTGAGAGAGAGAGAGAGAGAGAGTGTGTGTGTGTGTGTGTGTGTGTGTGTGTGTGTGTGTGTGTGTGTGTGTGTGTGAGAGAGAGAA